GCACAAACCGGACAACAAAAAAGACCACAGCCAAGACGCTTGGAAACCAAGCCCACGAACCGACAACAAAAAAGACACACCAGACGCTTGGAACAAAACACCAAATCGACAACAAAAAAAAAGACACACCCAGACGCTTGGAAACAACGCACAAACGAACAACAAAAAAAGACACACCAGACGCTTGGAAAACAACCACAAACAACAACAAAAAAGACACACACAAGACGCCTTGAAACAACCACAAAAACAGCAAAAAAGACACACCAGACGCTTGGAAACAACCACAAACAACAACAAAAAAGACACACCAGACGCTTGGAAACAACCACAAACGACAGCAAAAACGACACACGAAAGAGCACAATCCAGAACACAGCCACGGAAGGGCGAGCACCACTTCCGGGGGCGCAGCGGGAGAGCAGAAGCAGTGGCTGGAGCAGGAGGAGCCCCCAGCAGGAGGACCCCAGCAGGAGGAGAGCCCCCAGCAGGAGGAGACCCCCCCAGCAGGAGGAGCCCCAGCAGAGAGCCCCCCAGCAGGAGGAGCCCCCAGCAGGAGGAGCCCCCAGCAGGAGGAGCCCCCCAGAGGAGCCCCCAGCAGGAGACCCCCCAGCAGAGAGAGGCCCCAGCAGGGGAGGAGCCCCCAGCGAGGAGGAACCCCCCCAGCAGGAGGGAGCCCCCCGCAGCAGAGAGCCTCCCAGCAGGAGGAGGCCCCAGCAGGAGGAAGGCCCCAGCAGGAGGAACCCCCCAGCAGGAAGGACCCCCCAGCAGGAGGAACGCCCCCAGCAGGAGGACCCCCCAGCAAGGAGGAGCCCCAGCAGCAGGAGGACCCCAGCCCCAGGAGGAGCCCCCAGCCCCCCAGCAAGGAGGACCCCCGCAGGAGGAGCCCCAGCAGAGGAGCCCCCAGCAGGAGGAGCCCCCAGCAGGAGGAGCCCCCAGCAGGAGGAGCCCCCCCAGCAGGAGGAGCCCCCCCAGCAGGAGGGAGCCTCCCAGCAGGAGGAGCCCCCAGCAGGAGGAACCCCCCAGCAGGAGGAACCCCCCAGGCAGGAGGAACCCCCCAGCAGGAGGCAGAGGACGTCGGGTCGTGACGAAGGCGGCCGAGACATTGATCAAGGGCGGGAGGGTTTCCTGTGGTCGTTTGACGACGCGCCTGCGGATCGGAGGATAGAAAGGAAGGAGTAGAAGGATCGGAAGGATAGGAAGGATCGGAGAATAGAAGGATAGAAGGATATAAGGATCGAAGGATAGAAGGTTCAATGAATCGAGGGATAGAAGGATCGGAGGATAGAAGGGTCGGAGGATGGATAGAAGGATCGGACGATAGGAGGATAGAAGGATGAAGGATTGAAAGCTCTATGAATCGAAGGATAGAAGGATCGAAGGCTCTATGGATCAAAGACTCTAAAGTTCGAAGGCTCTAAGACTCGAAAGGCTCTGTGACTCTACGGCTGGGGAAATCGAAGCTCAAAGGCTCTATAGACCTAAGGCTCTACGACTCTACGGCTCTACGGCTCTACGGCTCTACGACTCTACGGCTCTACGGCCTCTACGGCTCTACGTCAGCTGGGCGAAGGGAAAAATTCACTAATTCACTGAGGCCAGGGGCGTGAGGGAGGGGGGGGGGGGTAGTATCGTTTCTGATTTGTCGATTAGTTTTGATAATAATTGAATTTGTCTATTACGGTTGAATTTTTTCTGTTATTATTGTTATCAATTATTATAATTTTCATTATCAATATCATAATTGGTATTGCTGTTATAGTCACCAAATATATTCAATTAGCATTATCATTGTCTTTTATTATCATCATTGAATTATATCATCATTATATTATTGTCATAATTATCACTATTAGTATTATCCTTATCATATCACTATCATTATCTATATCATTACTTTCATTCTCATTATCATGACCATTATTATTATTTTCATAATCATTATTATGACCATTATTACCATTATTATTATCATCTTCATTATTACAATTATTATCATAATTTTCATGATCATTATTGTTATTTAATGCTATCACCATTGTTTTCCTTATCAATAATGTTATTATCATTATCATTATCATTATTGGGATTATCATTGTTACCATCATTACTATTACCGTTATCATCATTAATGTTATCATTATTGTCATTATTATTATCATTACTATTATCATCATTTCGATCACTATCATTAGCATTTTGGTTATCAATATTATCATCATTATTGTCATCAGTGTTGTTGCTATCATTATCATAATTATTTTCATTATTTTCATCATTACTATTAACATTAGCATTAATGTTACTATTATATAATCATCATCATTATTACCGTATGTGTATATGTATGTGTGTGTGCGATTTTTTTTATGTGTGTGTTTGTACGCGTGTATATGTTTTGTGTGTGTGTGTGTTTGTGTGTGTGTGTGTGTTTGTTTGTTTGTGTGTGTTTGTGTGTGTTTTTGTGTGTGTGTGTCTGTGCGTGTGTGTGGTGTGTGTACGTGCGTGTCTGAGTTTTCTACGTGGATGTTTGTGTGTGTGTGTGTATGTGTGTGTATTTGTGTGTATGTGTGATACAACGATACCCCTGAAAGACCAGAATCCAAAACACAACATTCCGATATCTAAAGAGCAGATTTTTGCGTCGGACAGTGAAATCCACACTTCAAATCCCTTCAAATAAACTGATAATATCTAACCCTTTCGAACCCCATGCCAGATTCGCAAGCAGAAAAATTATGGCAGAGGGACCACGTATGTAATATATTTAACTATTTAACTATTTAACTATTTAACTGCGATATTTCGTAACTATGGAGAAAGTAGTTTAGTTAACAAGAAAGTTTTAAAATGTAAGGGCATATTATTTTTTTCCAGAAAATATGTGCATACATTAACTCATTAAATCTATTTTTGACCCAACGGCAACGCTTGGTATTTACCTCGTTATTAAAGTTATATTAGATATTTTTTTCTCTCACAAATAAACTACTTACTTGGGGGTTAGAAAATACTGGATGGAATGTGTGTGTATGAGAGAGAGAGAGGGGGGAGGGAAGGAGGGAGATAGATAGATTGAGAGAGAGAGAGTGAGAGAGAGAGAGAGAGAGAGAGAGAGAGAGAGAGAGAGAGAGAGAGAGAGAGAGAGAGAAGAGAGAGAGAGAGAGAGAGAGAGAGAGAGAGAGAGAGAGAAGAAAGAAAGAGAGAGAGAATCATTGTTTGTTTATCTTCAGAAAAATACAAAAAAACTACTAACTGCGTGCGTGCGCATAAACGTGTATGTGCGCCTGTATACATGTATGTACGTGTACGAGTATGTATGTACACGTCGCTTCTGTGTGTACCAGCACCCGCTTCTCCTCCCCCGCCCACACAGCATTGCCAACACACCAATGACACTAAGTTTACAGTTGCGGGATTGGTTTCAGATATCGAGTGGCGCTGAGGCGTGGTGGAAGAGGACATCCATGGTGTTAATTTGGCCTCCGGGTTGATTGTGACCTCAAGTGACCTGTTCTGCGGGAGTTGTGGGTCACTGGGCCTTGTGGAGGTTCTTAGAGTGTTGCAGGTACGGTGTCAAAGGAGTTTTTCTGAGGTTCTTAAAGTGTTGCAGGTACGGCACCAAAGGATTTTTTTCTGAGGTTCTTAATGTGTTTGCAGGTACGGCACCAAAGGAGTTTTTCTGAGGTTCTTAATGTGTTGCAGGTACGGCATCAAAGGATTTTTTCTGAGGTTTGAAAGTGTTGCAGGTACGGTATTAAAGGAACTGATGGGGAGGGTGGTGTAGGTTTCCTTATCTTTATTTAGCTATCACAGGATTTCAGTTCTATTTTTAGGGATCGGAGTAATTTAGCAAATTTTCATTTTTTTTCTTTTTCTGTGTGAAAACTTCAGAATCTTATTTTATCGCCAAATGACATAGATTTTCGTCTTGACTTAGAATCTTAGAATCTTTTAAAGCGTTTTAACAGTTCCCTACTTAAAACGTTTTCCAAGGCAGGCAAGCCTTGTTCAGTGGTGATGTGGAAGTGCATTTCTATAAAGTACAAATCATAACAGTCCTTAGAGAACGTAGAAATGTCAAAATAACACACAGCATATACAAACTTGGGATTTAAAAGCAATAGACAAGTATTCGCACCAACAATCTCGGAGAGAGATAACTTATGCATAAGTTGAGGGTGGAGTTTATTTCAATGGCGGTTGGCAACAGTTTGAGCGCGCATTTCAAAACAGCTGACAAGCTGGCGCCGCATCAAAATGACAGAGAAGTAAATAAATCTATCCTAACATTTTAACAAAGCGCAATATTTTCTCCTATATTCATATAAAGTGCCTCTAAAACAGTGACATACACTCTGACGCGTTATCAAAACAAATAAACATCCCTGAATTAAAATATAGGCCTATCCATTCCCATTTATCCGATTTCATGAAGTTAAATATAACAAGTCACCGAATACAGTATCAACAGAAGAATGCTGCTAGAATATCATCAACAAAAAGAAATATTGCTTGAATTTCTCAGACTTTTTTCACCTGAAATATTCCTTATTTCATAGAATAGCAGATATATTCTCGATTTAGAGAGACGAGGAGTTTATAAGTAAAAAATAAATTGTTCGTCTCATAATGATTTATGATTTATAAACAAAAAACCTTTTCATTCCCATAATCCCAATTACCTCCTTTCGTTTTCAGTTAATTTCAACTTCTTTGAATATGATTTTATGAAAATTACAGAATCAGATACCGTAAAAAAAACATATTTTTACGATAAAATATTAAGCGGAGTCTAGCCATATACGGGGGTTGCTTGAGAAAGGAAGAGAAATTCTTGAGTTAGCATGAAAAAGTCTTGAGATTTTAGGCACGAACTTTCCCTGCTTAAAACGCCTTTAGATTCGTCTTATCTTTAAGGAATCGTAGAATCTTGTCTTATCTTTAAGTATCTCAGAATATGATAACAACAACGATAAGGATAAGGATAATAATAATAATAATAGCAATGGTGATAATAATGATAAATGATGATGATATAACTATAATGATGATAATGGATGGAGGGATAACAATAAGAGTTTACTAGATAATACAATAAATAAATTAAGAATAATAGAAGTAAATAATAGGAATAATGATTAAAATGATAATGATGGATAATGATAGTTTATGAAAAATAACATTAATGATGATGGTTATACAAATATTAGTAACCCATATTTCGTTCCTTCCCTATTCCATCACGTGTTTTTTTGTTTTTGTCTTTTTCTTTTTTTCCTCCATCTCTCTCCTCCATCTCTCCTCCCATATCTTTCTCCTTTCCTATCTCCCTTTCTTTCTTCTTTTACTCAACCCCATCTCTTCCCCTACTCCCTTCCCACTTTTTTTTTATCTCTCTCTGCCTCTGTATATCCCTTTTTCTTCTTTCTCCACCGTCTCTCTCTCCCTTTCCCTCCCCCTCCCCCTCTCCCCTCACCCCTTCTCGCCCCCATCGCAGGCAAAACCAATTTTCAGAATATTCCCTCGGGGTTATTTATAGACACCGCCCCTTTCCTCCTCCCTCCCCTCCTGGCCACCCCACCCCTTCCCCCTTCCTCCCCTCCCTCCCCTCTCCCCACCCCCCCCACCCCCATCCCCCACCCCACCCTCTGCTGAATAGCTTCATTATTCAGACTCCTACACTATATCTTGGGATGATTTGCATGATCCTTGCTGCTGAATAACCCCCCCCCTCCCTCTCTCTCGTTGTCTCTTTTTTTTTCTCTCTCTCTTTCTCGTTGTCTCTTTCTCTCTTTCTCTCCTCTTTCGGCTGTCTCTTTCTCTCTTTCTCTCTCTTTTTCGCTGTCTCTTTCTCCTCATATCTCTCTCTTTCTCTCGCTCTCTCTCACTCTCTCTCTCTCTCTTCACCTCTCTCTCTCTCTCTCTCTACTCTCTCTCTCTCCGTCTCTCGTCTCTCTCTCTCTCATCTCTCTCTCTCTCTCTCGCACTCGTCTCTCTCTCTCTCGGCTCTCGTCTCTCTCTCTCCCCTCTCTCCGATCATCTCATCTCTCCTTTTCTCTCTCTCTCTCTCTTTCTCTCTCCTCTC